GAGAGAGAGAGAGAGAGAGAGAGAGAGAGAGAGAGAGAGAGAGAGAGAACCGCTATATCCTTTGCAGTCCTTACTCAGCTTGAAGTTCCCAGAGTACAGTATACACAAGAAGCCCTTTAAAGGTAATATCAAGGCAATATATTTCTGAGAACTCTATCTCAAATGTATTGCTGAATCAAATGATTAGATATGTTTTTCATCTAGTGGGGCTTTGTAGAAGCATCTGGCTGGCTATGGAAACAGAATGCTGTTTTAGATGGGCTCTGGGTCCCAGGCAGGAGGGCTCTCCAAGAGAGAGAAAGAGAGGGAGATTCGCTTTAACAATGAGCTAAAACCTTTCATTCTACAAATCTTTAATAAAGCAATGTTTCTTGCATAAAACCAAGGTTGTCAAGCATTTGCATATATGCTCCATTTCCCCACCCCCCATTATACTTCTTAGGAAGAAAGCACAGCTTCTATTCTCACTAGATCTCCAAAGGTAACATTTGGAAGATCTGCAGCTTTTTAAAAAATCATTTTTTTGTCAGCCTCAACCATAAGTTCCTTTTGTCACAGCTCCACACCTGTGCCTCTGTAATGGTTGGAGACATTAATTTGACCCCCTATTGATTGGTGAATGCACTAATTATTGCTGCTGCTGCTTCTTTAATCTTATCAGCAATATGAATGATCTGCACACATCATTTATAATGGTAGCTCCTAAGAAAAGCTGAAAACTTGTCTTATTCTTGCTGCGGCTGCGGCTGCTTTGTCAGCAAGATGAATGATCTGCACACACTATTTACTTATCTTAAAACGGTGGCACCCACGAAAAGCTAGGAACTTGTCTTATCAGTTTTCCTTCTGGCTTCTGTTCATATGTACTATTGGCATGGCGCCAATCCAACCAAAGTTAGGCATAACTGATAGTGCCATCCTAGCCATGTCTACTCAAAAGTACATGCCACTGAATTTGTGCACTTGAGGGTACGCTCTCAATATGTACACTTACTGGGAAGAAGCCCCACTGAACAATGTAAGTTCCTGTGAAAACAATGAGACCTCACCCAGTTGTGGTTAATAATAATAATAATAATAATAATAATAATAATAATAATAATATTGTTATTTATAACCCACCCATCTGGCTGGGTTTCCCCAGCCACTCTCACATCAGAATTAAAAGCACAAACATCAAACATTAAAAACTTCCCTAAATTAATGGGCTGCCTTCAGATGTCTTCTAAAACTCAGATAATTGTTTATTTCTTTGACCTCTGATGGGAGGGCGTTCCACAGGGCAGGTGCCACTACCAAGAAGTCCCTCTGCCTGGTTCCCTGTAGCCTTACTTCTTGCAGGGAGGGAACCACCAGAAGGCCCTCGGAAATGGACCTCAGTGTCTGGGCTGAACGAAGGGGGTGGAGATGTTCCTTCAGGTATGTCTGGATTGCAGCCTATAATCTGAAGTACTCTTTACTGCAGTATTTGCCCGTGTTGGACAATAATACCTTAACACCTTTTGGACTCCACCGGATGCATAGAATCTTATCAGCATGTAGCAAGAGTGTAATAATTTCTCTTGGAGAGATGAAATTAATAACATTCCAAAATATCAGTTACATAATTAACATTAAAAACTGGAACAAACACGGGGAATTGATACAATTTTCCTGGCAAAGCGGTTTGGCTTTTGCTTTGTTGTCAGGATCACAACATGATTGATTTAGTAATTGATTCAGTTGTAATTAGGCTTCTGACCGTACATAACTACCCATTAATTGCTGCCATTATTTATGTATTGGCTTTTAAACGTTGCATTGGAATGAGTGTGTCTTGTGACTTTTCAAATTATTTATACTATAAACTTTGAGATTGGCACAGTACATATTGTTTGTCTTGCTGATCCTTTTTAAAACTCTATATGGGCTTTTGGGGATGAGGCCTATTCCCCAAACCAATTTGTACCAAGGTTGGGAAAGCAATGGCGCCTCGAGACATGTCGTGAAATAATGCTCATGATGCTATCGCCTGCAAAAGTTTTAGAGTGGTCACATTGCTTCATTTCCAATCAGTGCCTATCCTGTAACTTCCTGATGAATTCCTGCAACGTTTTATATCACAAATGTTCTGGTTCGTTTTTGTTCCACCTTCATTGCTCTATTGTTTTTGTTGTTGTTTAGTCATTTAGTTGTGTCTGACTCTTCATGTCCCCATGGACCAGAGCACGCCAGGCCCTCCTGTCTTCCACTGCCTCCCGCAGTTTGGTCAAACTCATACTGGTAGCTTCGAGAACACTGTCCAACCATCTTGTCCTCTGTCATCCCCTTCTTCTTGTGCCCTCCATCTTTCCCAACATCAGGGTCTTTTCCAGGGAGTCTTCTCTTCTCATGAGGTGGCCAAAGTATTGGAGCCTCAGCTTCAGGATCTGTCCTTCCTGTGAGCACTCAGGGCTGATTTCCTTCAGAATGGATAGGTTTGATCTTCTTGCAGGCCATGGGACTCTCAAGAGTCTCCTCCAGCACCATAATTCAAAAGCATCAATTCTTCGGTGATCAGCCTTCTTTATGGTCCAGCTCTCACTTCCATACATCACAACTGGGAAAACCATAGTCATTGCTCTATATAGCCCATCCAAACAGCAATAACGTGGAAGCATTGGGTAAGCATCGCAGAACAAACTGAAGCAGAATAAACCCACTAGTAATGCGCTATTATTGTGTCAAAGTGCACATCAAAGTGCACGTAGATAAATAGGTACCGCTAAGCCGGCAAGGTAAATGGCGTTTCAGTGCGCTGCTCTGGTTCGCCAGAACTGGCTTAGTCATGCTGGCCACATGACCCAGAAGCTGTCTGTAGACAAATGCCAGCTCCCTCAGTCAATAAAGCAAGATGAGCATCACAACCCCAGAGTCATCCGCGACTGGACCTAATGGTCAGGGGTACCTTTGCCTTTACTGCAAGTCTCCCTGGTAGAGGCAAAGAAGGACCCTTTGGCAAAGATTAGTGAAACAACTCTACATTTCCCACCTGGCCTGGGTCTATAACCAGCTTCGCACAGCCTGAGTCTGTTCTAGTCCCATCGCTGTCCCATAGGTAAAGGTAAAGGGACCCCTGACCATTAGGTCCAGTCGTGGCTGACTCTGGGGTTGCAGCGCTCATCTCGCTTTATTGGCCGAGGGAGCCGGCGTACAGCTTCCGGGTCATGTGGCCAGCATGACTAAGCCGCTTCTGGCAAACCAGAGCAGCGCACAGAAACGCTGTTTACCTTCCCACCTTAGCGCTTGCACTTGGACGTGCTTTTGAACCGCTAGGTGGGCAGGAGCTGGGACCAAGCAACGGGCGCTCCCCCCGTCGCGGGGATTCGAACCTCCAACCTTCTGATTAGCAAGTCCTAGGCTCTGTGGTTTAACCCACAGTGCCACCCGCGTCCCTCTGTCCCACAGGGCTATTAATGGAAAGAAAGGCAGTGGGGGGAAACCTTGTGTGGCAGGGGGCAGGGAGGGGCGGAATGCAAAGAATAGTCCAGCAAATGCTATACACAGTTTTTCTTGCCAGCCCGTTACAAAATCTTGGGCTTATTCCCCAAAGCGACGACTTCAAATGTATTTTTAGCTGTGCCCCACTCACCTTTGTTTCTCGATCTCGCTGCACCGGCACATTTCAGCAGAGATTATCGCACAGTGGTGTAGCACATGCTTTGCATTCAGATAGTCAGATTCAATCCACAGCATCTGGTGAAGACCGCTGCCTGAAACCCTGGAAAGTGTCTGCCTGTTCGGAGTAGGCATCAGTGAGCTAGATGAACCAACAGTCTGGTTTGGTAAAAGGAAGTTTCCTCCTGTGTTCAGTTTGCTAATTGTTCATTAGTTCTGCCCACAAGTGAACCAGGCAAAATAACAGGTGCCTGCATGCTGCTGTTTGCTTTCTGTGGTTCAGTCTGTATGCAAATAATTAGAATGAGATTTAGCAAGACGTTCGCCTTTCACCCCTTCCAGCTCAATGGTTTTATGCATCAGTATTCTGTGGGGACGCGGATGGCGCTGTGGGTTAAAGCCTCAGCACCTAGGACTTGCCGATTGAAAGGTCGGCGGTTCGAATCCCCGCGGCAGGGTGCGCTCCCGTCGCTCGGTCCCAGCGCCTGCCAACCTAGCAGTTCGAAAGCACCCCCGGGTGCAAGTAGATAAATAGGGACCGCTTACTAGCGGGAAGGTAAACAGCGTTCCGTGTGCTGCGCTGGCTCGCCAGATGCAGCTTTGTCACGCTGGCCACGTGACCCAGAAGTGTCTTCGGACAGCGCTGGCCCCCGGCCTCTTAAGTGAGATGGGCGCACAACCCTAGAGTCTGTCAAGACTGGCCCGTACGGGCAGGGGTACCTTTACCTTTTATTCTGTGAAACGGGAAATTTGTAATCAGCAGTTGCTGTTCCTGCTGCTGCTGCTATTTTTAATGCTGCCACAAACACATAGACTCTGTGGTCCCTAGATGATGATCTTCTGTAGCCTAATTCTTGAGACAGTCTTATCTTTCTTCCGTAGCCATCAAATCCTGCCCCCAAATAGTACGACTGCACATCGTTCTCTAAACTCTCTATGCATTTCCCCCTCTGCTGCAAAGGAGCATCCACTTTCCTAACAGCAGTTTCGGAGTCGGTCAACATTTTGTGACTGATCCATCCCAACCAACATTTGTAATATCGCAGCAACTCATAGAATGGTTAAGAATCTGATTGGTGAGACAGGCAGCAGGCAGTGGAAGTTCATGTTGTACTTTGAGATGTACACAGTCAGCGCCCTGTTCGTGAGGCCAGAATGCAGCAGAGGAAACACAAAGCTGTTGTTGGTGTCCATCTGTCTTGAAAGACAATGGAGTGCACCTCTAGGGGTGAAGTGAAACTGGTGCAATAGCACAAGCCCGGGCAGTGTGTATGGAGGTCCTGAGCTGCCCAGGTGACACAACTCCCCTCTTAGCCTTGTTGATGTGGTCCAAAGGAAACATAAAATGAACTCTCTCATTTCAGGTGCCTTTTGCATTCCACTTTATGTGCCCTACGTGCTAACTGGCAGGTGGACTTTCGGAAGAAGCTTTTGCAAGCTCTGGCTGGTGGTTGATTATCTGCTGTGCACCACGTCGGTCTTCAACATTGTGCTGATTAGCTATGACAGATTCCTCTCGGTAACAAGAGCGGTGAGTAGTGACTGTGCAAAAGAGTTGATTGTCTCTGATGGATTGCTGCTGTTTGTTTGCCTATTCCCCTCTTAAATTTTGCCCCTGATCCTCTAGCCTTATCACCTGCTTCTCTGAAATCCTGTGTAAAAGAAAAGAAAATGCAAGACTAGGAAGATTTAGGTTTCACAGCATAGGAACATAGCAAGCTGACTTATACTGAATCATAGAATTGTTGAGTTGGAAGGGGCTTTGCGGATCATCTAGTCCAGGCATAGGCAAACTCAGCCCTCCAGATGTTTTGGGACTACAACTCCCATCATCCCTAGCTAACAGGACCAGTGGTCAGAGATGATGGGAATTGTAGTCCCAAAACATAGGGACGGCCGAGTTTGCCTATGCCTGATCTAGTCCGACCCTCTGCAATGCAAGAATATGCAGCATCGAACTTGCGATCCAGGCTTTATCAGCACCATACTCTAACCAATTGAGCTATCAGGCCAATGGTCCATCTACTTTATTATTGTCTACACTGACAGTCAGTGGCTCTCCAGAGTTTTAGGCAGAGTTACCTGGCGTCTCCCAGAGTTACCTGGAGACGCCAGGGATTGAACCTGGGACCTTCGGAGAGCAAAGCAGATGTTCTGCCACTGAGCTGTGGCCCTTCCCAATGCTGTATCATGCTAGAACCAAACTCACAGGTGGGGCTGGCCGCTGACCAGAGGCAGCTCAGCACAAAGGAAGTTGAGGCCTGAGCCCCAGCAGGGTGGAGCACAGAGACAGATATTCAGGAAGGCAGAAACCATTCCAAGCCAGGGTCTGAAACTGGCACAGCTAAAGAAGGTGGCAACTGCTAGGGAATGTAGGGGCCAATATCAGCAGCAGCTGGTGCCTTTTGGAGGCATCTACAATTCCTTTAAAAGGACCTTGCGATTCTAGCCCCTTCTGACTGTAGGATAACCAGCTTCATATAACCAACATGCTTAAGCTTAATTAATGCACAAAGGGGTTAAAACTATAGAATAAGCTGTCAGTTTCATGTGCTTTTCTGACTGGTTTGTGGAAAAGCACATGAAACTGACCTTTGAAGCGTTTGCAAGTAAACCATTTTTATCTTACCAAACATGTGGTCTTTTCCCTATTCTGGGAGACGAGGAAAGTTTTGGAACTGACAAGGGCATATTTGAAGGTTCTAACAGCCTATATTTCCATGCTTTGCTTTGCTGTATATTTTGTGATGTAAATCTCTGCTGGAGTTCTCTCACCAAAGAGAATGTGACGCAGGCTTGGATCTTGGCATCCAGAAATTCTCCTTTGTATTTATACCTTTTTCCCCCCCCTTGCAGTCAGAGGACATCTGTTTAAAGGACAATTGTTGGAACAGAGCAGAAAGCGTCCTGCGCATCAATGCTGTAACTTTCTTTCCTATTCCAAGCATACCATACATTTAAAGCAAACTGGGAATTGCAGTTTGCTAAGTGCGCTGGGAATTGTAGCTCTGTGAAGAGTAAATTACAGTAACCAAGATTCTTTGGGGGAGGCTATAGCTATTCAGATACTATAAATGCAATTTAAATATGTGGTGTGGGTGAGACTGTAGGAAGGATCACTTTCAGAAATATTTGCTTGATGTCGTCTGCCCACTTGTGTGCACAGAATTCTGAATTCTTGCTACCCGACATTTGATTAAAGCTAGCAGCAGCAAAACAAGTGACTGGTCAATGGTAATGATGCATAATTATCACTGTCTATACTTTTCTGCATCTCATTTCCTCCTGACCTCACTGCTTACCATTCCTGCTCCCCAACCCCATGTTTAAAGATACCTACAACTCAGGACAATACATCATGGATATGATGAAATGGACTGTAGTCCATGGAAACGTAATGCCACAAACTGTGTTCGTCTTTAAGGTGTGGCAAGACTTTCTGCTATCTTCTTACAACAGACTAGCATAGCTACCCTTCTGGAAATGCAATAAATAAATAAATATGTAGCTCTGTACTTAAAGTGCAGGGTTTTGTGACCGATTGTAAATGTTCATATTCCCCCCCCCTTTTTTTGGTACATGTAAAGGTAAAGGGACCCCTGACCATTAGGTCCAGTCGTGACTGACTCTGGGGTTGCGGCGCTCATCTCGCTTTATTGGCCGAGGGAGCTGGCGTACAGCTTCCGGGTCACGTGGCCAGCATGACTAAGCCGCTTCTGGCGAACCAGAGCAGCGCATGGAAACGCCGTTTACCTTCCCGCTGGAGTGGTACCTATTTATCTACTTGCACTTTGACGTGCTTTCAAACTGCTAGGTTGGCAGGAGCAGGGACCGAGCAACGGGAGCCCACCCCGTCGTGGGGATTCGAACCGCCGACCTTCTGATCGGCAAGTCCTAGGCTCTGTGGTTTAACCCACAGCGTACATGTACTTACACACAAAAAAATAGCTGTGGGGGGGGGGAGGAAGGAGCACATATGAGAGTGACAAATAATGAAATTGGACTTTGTATGAGTAGAACCATAGAGAAAGTCCTACCCCCTGATCATAAGCCTTCCGTCATGGCTGCCTTTAGTTTGATAGCCATTGTTTCACTCTCTACATGCTTTTCAACACAGTCATGAGGACTAGAAAGTTACTCTCAAAACTCCCAAAAGCTAGCACTATCAGTATTACCAGAGGGAGAGAACTGGATCTTGCGCAAGAACCCAGATTTCATCCTTTTGCTGCAGAAAAACCTTTCAATGGCAATGATAGCTAAGTGGATAGGTAGCATGTCAAAATAAAACTAAAAAGAAGGAGGAGGAAAATAGGAGAGTGGTGTAGCTGAAACATTTCTTTGTAATAGGTTATCAGAGCTGTGATGGAGCGAAAGAGGATGGAAGATTTAAAATACTAAAAATGGCATTTACAAAGGATTGCTGTGTACATGTTGCCAACTCCATTTTCCCACCAGGTGACAAGCAGAGATAAACCACATATAAAACTATGCGCACTATGCGCACAGCGGCAGAGCAAGCCGGTCAGGCGCCTGCCAGTCGGGGCAGGACCATAGCTGTCAACTTTTCCCTTTTCTTGCGAGGAATCCTATTTGGAATAAGAGAATTTCCCTTTAAAAAGGGGAAATGTTGACAGTTATGGGCAGGACGCTCTGTGGGGCCTCCGAGGAGTCTGCTTGCCTCCTCCCTACAGCAGAGGGTCAGGCGGGGGTGGACCCTTTGAGACAGAAGAGATGCGTGGCTTGGGTGTGCTGCAGGCCCTGCGGTGAGTGCCACCCGGCATTTTGTCACCCCCCTCAGTGGTGACACCCGGGACGCCCCACCCCTACCGCACCTCCCTTCCTCTGCACCTGGCTATGCAGCATTGAAATATGTGATCAGTTGCCTGCCTTTCACTAGTTGTTATTGTTATGGTTGCATGCCATCCCAACCTGAAGGAGCATCTCCACCCACCATCGTTCTGCCTGGACACTGAGGTCCAGCACCAAGGGCCTTCTGCTGGTTCCCTCTACACGAGACGTGAGGTTACAGGGAACCAGGCAGAGGGCCTTCTCGGTAGTGGCACCCACCCTGTGGAACGCCCTCCCAGCAGATGTCAAAGAGACTTTTGGAAGACATCTGAAGGCAGCCCTGTTTAGGGAAGCTTTTAATGTTTAACAGACTACTGTATTTTAATACTTTGTTGGAAACCGCCCAGAGTGGCTGGGGAAACCCAGCCAGATGGGAGGGGTATAAATAATAAATTATTATATATATTATTATTAACCTCCGAGCTGCATGAGATCCCAGGGGTTTCCAGGCACTTCCCCAGGTTTTGGTTTCCTTGGAATGAGGGACAACGGAGACTGTGGTCTTTTTAAGATATGTGGTTTATTTACACATATATACAACCTGAGCCTACGACGGAGGGGTTCACAGCGTCAACACCCTAGGAACACTTTGTTTCTCCCATAGTTGCAGCCTTGGGCTCAAACAGAAATCAGATATTGCTCCATGTCTCTCTAGTTTGCTGCTTTGCCTCTGCGTAGCTCACATCACTACATTTCTCTGCCCTGTCTGTGGAGGGAGAGGAGTCCCCATCCATTTGCCGTCTCGCACCGAACCCCTTAATCCCCCATCACCTCACCAGGAAGCTGTTTTGGCTATTCCAGGAATTAGAAGTCTTGCTGGATCCAGAGATTAGAGGGGTCTGGCATACAGTTTAACATAGGGTTACCAGACATCCCCGGTTCCCAGGGACAGTCCCCAGATTTGCAAATCTGTCCCCGGACAAATTGTGTTCCCAGAATGCCCCCAGATTTGCAAATCTGTCCCTGGGAAACGTGGCAGTGGCAGCCTCAGCAGCCCGGAGCCAGCCTGGTAGCGCAGTTGGCTCTGGCTGGCTTCAGGAGCTGCTCGCTGCCGCTGCCACTGCTGAAGGGGAACCGGGGATGTCCGGCGGTACAGATCTCCTGCCCCCTTCCCCCTTTGTTTTGACAGATCAGGGGAGGCTCGGGAGTCGTGGGTGGACAGCTGTTGCCCAGGAGGGGCGCAAGGCATGCAGTTTCTCTGCCAGGCAAGGTGCAAAGCCCTTCTTTCGCACCCTTTGAAACATAAATGCGCAGTTCTTAAAAAAAAACACTGGGCAACAGCAGCCTGTCCGCAACTCCCAAGCCTCCCCCAATCAGTTGCCTATAGTAACCATAGTTTAACACACCAAACTCATATCATCATTCCATGTTTTTCATTTATGATATGCTTCTCTGCGCTAATTAGAAATTTTAGGCAGTTGGTTAGGCTGAGAAAGTGTGTTTTAGCCCATGAACGATAACGTGTGTGGTTCAGATTTGGGTTTCCTCCACCCAAGGTTGGCATTTAAATCACTGCACCCCATTGGCAAATCAGACCACTGGTCTATCTAGGTCACTATTGTCCCTACACTGACCCTCAGCAGCTCTCAAGCAGGGAATCTATCCCAGTCGTACCTGGAGACGTCGGGGATTGAACCTGGGACCTTCTGCTTGCGAAGCAATTGCTCTTCCACAGAGCTATCACCCTTCTTCCCCTAAATGCCAGTTCAGGTATTATACTGAAGCAAACCTCCAAGTGTTCCCCCCAACAGGCCCAGTCAATCAGGGCATACTTATATACGACATGTTTACAGACATGTATTTATATTAGGGGAAACTACTCCTGACTTTAATTAAGCTTTGCATCTAGAATGCAGGCTTATTAAACATGCAAATTGCTTTATCCAGGGATTGGGAAGCTGAGCAGCATCAGGACTGCAGCGAGCACAGAGGGGAAATTGAACCATCTTATGGTTCTAGGCAAAAACATTCAAGCCATGCTAGCATTTGCAGTGAGAAGGAATCCCTGCCAAGTCAGGGCAGAGCCCGCCATCATTTTCCTGCACACTCAGGAGCTTGGGGAGTTGCCTTGTAGTGAGTTAAACCATTGGCCCATCCAGTTCAATATTGTTGGCACTGACTGGGAGAAAATCTCCAGGGTTTCTGGCAAGGGACATTCCCTTAGAGAGCTCAGTCAGTAGAACACAGGGCTCTTAATCCCAGGGCCGCAGGTTCAAATGCCACGTTGGGTGAAAGATTCTTGCAGTGCCGGGGGTTGGACTAGATGATCCTCGTGGCCCCTTACAACTCTAAAATTCAATGATTCTATCTGGAGATGTGGAGGATAGAATCTGGGACTGTCTGCATGCAAGACAGGAGCTCCATCACATACCGCACAAGTGTCCTGTTATAAGCGAGACATGCTGAATCACAGAAGACTCATTGTATCCTGGAATGTCCCATTTTTGGGGTCCGGTGAAACAGAAGATGCTCACTCTGGTGCAAGTCATCAGGGTCAGGTCAGAGTGCTGAGACAGAAGGGGTTCTGGTGCGATACTGCTGCCGACTGCTGGAGCACTAGACCGGAAGCTGCACCCCTCCTGGCATCCCAATTTTGGGGATGAAAACAAGGCTAAAGCGCCTCCCTGCACACAAAAATCCACTCTATCCTTCTCCTGCCCAGGTTCTATCAACCAAAAAATATCCTATTTTTTAGTTGCTAGCCTAGTGGAAGGAAGCATTCACTTTTAAAATGTCCATCTTAATCCATTAGCATGTGGTTGTCTAAGGCCAAAGAAATCACTTCCATTAGCCCAAGTCTCTCCTACCTTTCTCTCATCCCCTTTCATCCCCTTTCATTGCTGCTCACAGCGGTAAGTCTGGGAAAAGCAGATAGATAAAGCTGGCCATTAACATAAGTAGCTAATCTGCACGTAACAACAAGGCTTTTAATAGGAAAGTTCAGTGGGGAAACATCAGCAGATGCACTTAAAAGAATGTGTCCTCGCCTGTTTCTTTCGTTTGCCTTAGATCACATAACACAAGTGAAAATTGCGTGTTAGTCTTATGCAGCAAAAAGAATTATGGTGGGTGGAATTCAACATGGTGCCAGGTGAAAGGATTCCTCCTCACCTCCCGTCCCTTGTCCCACCTGGTGTTCTGGGGCTTCTCCCAACACACACAGGGAGCCAATTTCAGGGGGCATGGGGAGGAAATGAGAGAGGGAAAGTCCCATTGTGTAAGTGGAAGTTCCCACTCAGGACTTTTGCTGATGGGGCTCACTAGGTTAATACCACCCAGAGAGTCCTACGGAACCTTAAAAACCAACATTATGTATTATGTATTATGGTGAAAGCTTTTGTGGGTTACAGTTCTCTTCATCAGATGCACAATGTGTTTTCCTGAGCTGCAGCTATGTATGTAGAATGCACTCCCTGCTGAAATGCAAGAGACCGTCATCTGTATTGGCATTCTGTGGGCTTTTGAAAACACACCTGTTTACACAGGCGTTCCCTTGATCTAGCCACTCCCCTGTTTTACTTGCTTTTCTATTTTCATGGGATTGTTTTATTGTACATTTTTAATTATGGATGTTTATGCCAACGTAACTCCCTCATCCTGGCTTAACCTGGGCTATGCTGGTAGAATTTAAGCCAATTGAATTTACAACCGCATAAGTTCCCCAAAAGGGGTGCATTCTGGAGGCAAGACAGGGCAGGAAAAGCCAAGCATTTCCTTATTTGTAACTGCAAAATCTCTTTGAGGACCTGTGATGGTAAGGATCATCATGGCCCAAGATAAACTCAAATGGCAGCACTAATATTCATTTCATTTAGCACGATGCATTTCAGCACATGAGATAATGAACAAATTGATGGAGCGTCAAAAAAAACAAAACCCACCTTCAAATATTAATACATGATATGTACCAGGTTGAGAGACTAAAAGCCTTTTTATGCTTTTCACACTAATGATATAACTAGCATTGCTTTTATGCAAATGCATTGAACATTTCTTTCTTTTTTTAAGTACAGAACATGTTCCAGAAATTCTGAGATTTCTGCATAGCAGACTAAAACAGCTCTTCTTTTAAGCCATTTGTTCTGTCCTGATGATCACGCAAACCTCCAGTGCTAATATGCCCCAGATGCTCTTGATGGGTTTACACTCCCTCTGAAGGAGTGGGTATGTAGCTTGGAGGGAACGTCTGGGTCCTTTGCTGTCGGTTGAGGTTCAGGTGGCCTCAGTAGTGCAGAGTGCCTTCAATCACCTACAGCTGCTGGCCCAGCTGCACCCCCATCTGGGCAGGGATAGCCTAACTTCTGTCATCTATGCTCTGGTAACCTCTAGCTTAGAGTACTGCACCACAATAAATGCAGGGCTGCCTCTGAGTACAGCATAGCTGTCAACCTTCCCTTTTTTTTGTGGGAAATTCCCCTATTCCAGCGCCGTTTCCCGCTGCTATCCCGGATTGTTAGATATCCCGTAGACTGTCCCCGGGACAGGTGAGGCTGCCGATCCCTTATTTTCAAATCTGAAAGTAGACAGCTATGGAGTACAGTTCAGAAACTTCAGCTGGTGCAGAATTCAGCAGCCAGCTTGCTCACCAGGGCAAGATGATTTGAGCAGATTACGCTGATCCTGGCCCGACTGCACTGGCTGCCAATTAGTTTCCGGGCCCAATTCAAAGCGCTGGCTTTGAACTATAAAGCCTTAAACAGCACAGGACTGCAATAATTCAAGGACCATATGAACCAACCCAGACCCTGCAATCATCATCTGAGGCCCTTCTTCATGTCCTTCGTGAACTTCTCCTCCTTTCAGAGTTTTGAACAGCTGACCTGAAATTTCTCAGAAAAGTTTCCTGATAATGTTGAAGCCCCTCCCAATACAATGCCTGTGGGTGCAATGATACCCTAGAGCTCTTCTCTTGTTGCCCCCAAAGCCTCTCAGCCACCCCTCTCACTGCCCCATTAACCATGAGATGAAGAAGTTACCCTTTTCTCCCTTGAGAAGTACATATTGCTGAAGGAGGAAGTTGGGAGAGAGACACTCTGTCCCACTTCCTCTTTTGGCTCTATGTGCTTTTCAAGGTACAGACTCCTACTACTGGGTCTGACTTTTATACAGATCACTTGGGAAAGTGAAGTGTGTGCCTGCTTGCTTCCTCTTGCTGTGCCTTGGGTGGGGCTGGTTCAGGAGAGATGGGCGAGAAGTGGTACCCACAGCACTTGTTCCAAAATCCAAGTGCAGTGGTGCCCCGCAAGACGAATGCCTCGCAAGATGAAAAACTCGCTAGACGAAAAGGTTTTTCGTTTTTTTGAGGTGCTTCGCATGACGAATTTCCCTATGGGCTTGCTTCGCAAGACGAAAACGTCTTGCGAGTTTGTTTCCTTTTTCTTAAAGCCGCTAAGCCGCTAAGCCGCTAATAGCCGCTAAGCCGCTAAGCCGTTAATAGCCGTGCTTTGCAAGACAAAAAAACTGCAAGATGAAGAGACTCGCGGAACGGATTAATTTCGTCTTGCGAGGCACCACTGTGCGCCCATGTGCCTAAAAAGGTTGGTGATCTAAAGAAAACAACTGCATGTTCTCCCTTTACAGGTGTCCTACAGAGCTCAGCAAGGAGACACCAAGCAAGCCGTGTTCAAGATGGCCATGGTGTGGGTCTTAGCCTTCCTGCTCTATGGACCTGCGATTATCAGCTGGGAGTACATATCCGGCCGAAGCATCATACCCGATGGGGAATGCTACGCTGAGTTTTTCTACAACTGGTATTTCCTCATCACAGCCTCCACCATCGAGTTTTTCACCCCATTCATCAGCGTGGCCTTTTTCAACTTGAGCATTTACCTGAACATCCAGAGGCGCACCAAAGCCCGCTTGGATGTGGTGCATGAGGCTCAGAACCAGAACTTTGTGGAGGAGATCGAAATGAGCCCTGAAGCCCAGCTCTCCATGAAATGCTGCAAGTGGGAGCAGAGAGATCTGGCAGAAACTCTGGGTGTCCCAAAATGGGACGCCCAAGAAGAAAGCAGCAAAGAGAGTACAAATGTCAAGTATTCGAGCACAGAGAGCTCTGGGTTTACCGGCAGCAAAGCAAAGCTTTTCATCAAAAAGAACTACAAACACTCAACATCTACTCTTTCTCTAGAGAAACGGATGAAGGTGGCTTCCCAGAACATGAGCCAACGTTTTAGGCTCACCAGAGACAAGAAAGTAGCCAAATCTCTGGCCGTTATAGTGGGGATTTTTGGCCTCTGCTGGGCACCGTACACACTTCTCATGATTATCCGAGCTGCATGTCACGGTCACTGTGTCCCCGAGTACTGGTATGAGACCTCCTTCTGGCTTCTGTGGGTCAATTCTGCCATCAACCCTGTCCTTTACCCTCTCTGCCACCACAGCTTCCGGAGAGCTTTTGTTAAACTCTTGTGCCCCAAGAAACTCAAGATCCAGCCTCACAGTTCCCTCCAGAAATGCTGGAAGTAGTTTCAATTCATTGTAGGCTAGAAAGGATACTTTCTGCCATATTGCTCTGCAGGAGTTTGCTTCTTTTGAGAGGTGTTGCTTTTGAGAGGTGTTGAGCTGCTGTCCAGGGCTAGGAACCTACCAGGGTTATATAGCCTGTAGGACAGGGATGGGTAACCTGTGGCACCTAAGGATGGGGAGGAAATTTGATTCCGGTTACATTTAAAGGCAAACCTAATTCACACTTTCCAAAGCAATAGGAGAACTGAAACACAGCCACCGTTTGTAATTCACATCTGCAAATGACAGTTCTCTGGCCAAGTCACATGTAATTATATATTATTATTATTATATATTATTATTATTATTTATTTATTTATTTATACCCCACCCATCTGGCTGGGCTTCCCCAGCCACTCTAGGTGGCTTCCAACAAAATATTAAAATACAGTAATGCATCAAACATTAAAAGCTTCCCTAAACATGTGGGGGGGGGGAAACACCCTGCATACACAAGGGGAAAGTGTGCTGAAATATCCACGCACAAGTGAAAACAGCATAGAAACATGCATTATATATGGGGAAACTGATTTGCAAAAATATGTCTACTGGGCAAAAATTCATGCAAAGATACATTGAGTAGGAGACATTCATGCTAAAATGCTGATAACTTTTCATTAAGATTTTTTTAAAGAAACAATTCACAGGTTGTTGCAAAATTGTGGAAAACTGAATTTAAGATTGGGGGGAAATGAGAAATTGAGGGAACTGAAATGGACAGGTCCATTCACCCAAGTGGCACTCCAGATGTTGTTGGATTACAGTGCATAGGAACATAGGAAGTTGCCTTACACAAAGTCAAAATATTGGTGCAAATAGCTCCGTATCTACTGCACGGACCAGGTAGCACTGTCTCCCTGCTATACCTGGGGGTTGAACTTTGGATCCTCTGGCTGTAAAGCATGGATGATGCCACTGAGCTGTTCTCCTCCCCTTCATGGCCAATCAAGTATTTGAATCTTAGCTTTGCCCAACCTGACTGGCACTAGCCTTGTCTTTTGTTTGTGCCCAGGAAGTTGAGTCTAACTCCAGCACAGATGAGAGGCAGCCTCATCCACTAAACCATATATATATATATACACACAACTTTTAAGAAAGATTCTCCATGGAGAGTCTTCATTGCAAAAAGGCTTATGAAGGGCGACAAGCGAAACATGATTTAAAACCATTTAAATCAGCCGTGCCATACTCCTACTACAGAGACATCGCACAAACAGCAAACAACCCAAGATAAACTAAACATACAGTAGCCGGACCATGGGCAGATTTCTGCAGCTCTAGGAGCCAACGCCTAGGGGCCAAGCTGAATATCTTAGGCTGGCCCTCCCTTCAGGAGCATTTTGCCACTGCAGAATGAACCAAACAAGAAGCAGACCCATCATGTGTGGTGCACTACTTGCTGGACCACATCACTTCAGACAGCACATGGGAAAATCACGTTAGAATGCTTCTCCACCCCCATACACAAAACTCCCAAGCAGTGATGGTTTAGCCCTCTTGCTGCTGACTACTTTCCCCCAATTGCTTCTACATCCGCCCCATTTAGGGTTCCAGACCCATGCTTGAAAAAGGAGCCACAGGAAATAAGGGGCTTGCTTGCCTTATTTTTGTTTGTTTTGCATTGCAAAGAAAGGGGGTGATTTGCACATACATAAAATCTAAAGAAAAAGTATAGGCCACATTTTCATACACACACACACACACACAGAGAGAGAGAGAGAGAGAGAGAGAGAGAGAGAGAGAGATACCACAGCAGCATCCAGCATACAAAATCACAATAACGTCAATGAAAATATCAATGAAAATTGGTTGGGAAAAGGAAATTCAAAGGCCTTTCTGAATAAACCAGGGGAGATATCCACAGGGAGTTCACCAAACTAAAGGTTCACTCAGAAGACTGACTGAATCTTTTGAGAAGCCTTTAAAAAAAAACCAACACACTACCAAATGGTTATTAAAAATGTGAAATATTGCATAACCGCCATGTTAAAGATTTCCAAAGAAGCACCCACATTTTGGCCTTCTAAACTGTCCTGAAAGTTCAATATACATAAGAAAAAAAGAAAATCTGTATGATTTTTTAAAAATAGGGGCTAATGAGTCTTCAATAAAGATAATAACACTTAGCATATGTTTTCATATTAATGTTAAAAGCATTCCACAGACATTAGTTCAGGCATCATTACAATAACCCTGGAAGATAGACAAGTTTTATTATCCCCGCAGGTGGAAAAACCTCCATTTTGCACATGGGACGATATGGACTGAAGTTGAAAATTGACAACTCCAGCCCTTAGTCATCCTGTTAACAATGTGTGCAAATTTTCAAACTGGGCCGGTTCTGAAAGCAACGTTCTTTGCTAAGCACATCAATACTGAAGGATAAAAGAGAGATGTTTTTCCTTCTGGATGCAAGCCTAAGAATTTTGTTGCACGGCCTGCTTCTTATACATGAATGGGAAAGGAGCACGAACGAAAGAGGCACCAATTACGGATTCATGATACTTACCAGCTGGGGTGGGGGAAATGACAGTTCTTATTTGTCAACATTAATAAGTGTTTTCCCAATCTCAGGGTGCATTTTCACTCTGGCAAGTCTGCTTTGATCAGCGGCAACCGTGAGCTTGTTTCCGTAAAGGTTACATTTCAAAGCAGACATTTTTCACAAAGGAGACGCAGGGACAGAGAAAGGAGGATAGGAAACTGCTTGATTTCAGATCGGACCACTGGCCCATCTAGTGACTCTGCGGGGTTTCAGGCAGGGGAGATTTCCAGACCTACATGGAAACATCAGAGGGTGGGTTTGGTGGATTTGGTTCCTGCTGATGCTCTACCACAGGCATAGGCAAACTCTGGCCCTCCAGATGTTTGGGACTACAATTCCCATCATCCCTAGCTAACAGGACCAGTGGTCAGGGATGATGGGAATTGTAGTCCCAAACATCTGGAGGGCCGGAGTTTGCCTATGCCTGCTCTACCACTTAGCTATGGCCTTGCAACAGCATCGTCCAGAGGCCCTTGCAGAATATTGTGGCGAAGAAGGGATGGAAGAGGAGGAAGTAAGAGTACCTGTCCTCCTTCGACACCCTATGTGCCTTTCTCACTCATCAGAGCAATGGAAACTGGCATAACCCACGCCCAATCTGCGCTGTACATTTAACACTTTATCATGCCACTTTTAAAGTCTGTGGTTTCCCCCAAAGAATCCTGGGAAATGTTGTTTGTCAAGGGTGCTGAATTTAGGAGATCCCTATTCCCCTCACAGTGGCAGAGCTACCATTCCCAGGCTGGTTTAACAAGCAGGAAACTCTGGGAATGGTAGCTCTGTGAGGAGGTTAGGTGGGGTCTCCTAACAACTCAGCACCCTTTGCAAGAGACAGTCCCTGGGAATCTTTGGAAGAAGCCACGGCTGTTTGAAATGGTACAGCACTGCTTTAAATGTATAGTCCGGATGGGGACCCAGACTCATCCGATAGCAAAGACTAGGAGGGGGTGGTTGCAGTTGAATGAGGGTTGCCTGGCAAATAGGATCTCAGCTCTGCTTCCTGGGATTGAATTGATCTGCAGCAGCTCAAGTGTGAGCTTATCCATGGGGCTGAGCTGAAGCAAAAATATCACTGGCAATGCAAGATACTGAGTCACTTCTCCCACCAGCAATGGTCTGTTGTTCAGACCAGGCCAGCTGATACTATGAGGAAATGATCTACTACTATTTGCATCAATTCAGATAGCCTAATTTCCACCTTGAATGTGGGCATTTGCAATCACCCAATTGGCACCCATCTATCTCGGGAGACAATGGAGGAGTGTAGCTTTTGGGGTGAGATCAAGCTGTTGGGCGGTTGCAGCGCCTGCTGTGGCTGCAGAGACCGATGCAGGAGAGACATGTTTTGTTGCAGCTGGGGCAGAGGAAGGCATCCAGTTGTGCTGCTGCAGATGCACTGTGGCGTTTCTTCCTTCTGCAATCACCAAGTGATGGGAATTAAGCAGAACGCTTTTATCCGAGGGGGTTCCAGTAAGGGATGAACCGGCACGCCTTGACAAGTTACAAAAATCTACCTTGTCTAACAAGTGGTAGAACATAGGAGCCTAGTAGGAAGCTGCGTTATAGACAATAAGACCATTGGTGTATCCAGCTCAGGATCATATACACAGAATGGTGGAAGCTTTCTGGGGGTTTAAGGCAGAAGTCTCATTCAGTCCTACCTGGAGATAGCAAAGATTGAACCTGGAATCTCCTACATGCAGAACAGACTCTCTGCCACTGAGCCAAGGCCCTCCTCCTGGAGACTGCAGAGTCTAAGGCTGTTTACACACTCCTGTTTACTCTGTATCCAGGGTGGCCCCACTGCTGGTTTAAGTAAGCGGCATACACATGGCATTAGACACAACCTAAACATCTCCTGCGCTTTCTTCAGTATTTTGATGTGTCTCTCTCCAAAGCAACTTCTGTCCGGTTTGAAAACATAAGCCATACAAAGACACCTGCACATCACTATGCTCAGCCAGGGGGCTGATGCGCACAACCGCATGCAAATGCGATTTGCCACGCAGCACGGGGGCAAGGGGAGGAACAACCTTGCTGCGTTGCAAGCCAGCAATGTGTACACAGTCTAATGCTCACTGGATCGCTTCAGGCAACAGAATTCCACTTGATTCCCCAACCAGTCGGTGATGGAAAGTCAATGTTTGTTGAAGCAAAATAAATTAGTTATCTGACTCCACTCTCTGTACATTGAGCTGTCTGCAGGATGTTCAGCTGGAATGCACGCAGCTGCTGTTTATCGAGTCAGGCCGTTTGCCATCGAGCTGCGCAAAGTCTGCTGCACATGGGCAGGCAGCAGCTCGCCAGGGTTTCAGGCAGGGTCTCCGTCCGACCTGGGGACAGCACGAATTGAACCTGCAACATTTGCATGCAAAGCATGGGCTCTACCACTGAGCTGCGCAGCCCTTTCCCTGACCCTGCTTCCAGGCATGCTTTAACACACAATGTGAAGGATCATGAGTAGCATTGCCACCAGAAGGGAAGGTACCGTTTGGCTCTGCTGAGCAGAGTCACTGGGTAAGTGCCAGGTGCAATAGTGACTGGTGCCCATTGGGGCTGGCAGGGCAAAAGGTGGGATGGAGGGCAATGGAAGGCAGAGCCAGAAGTAGTGATGGGTGCAGTCTGATTTTTTTATCTCTGGTTTCCTCCACGCTAAGTCCTACAGAGGCAACACTGAGCCTAAAGAGGAGGAAACAG